GCCCGCCGTGCGCGCCATGCTGCGCCAGCACCCCAAGGTCGTGGCCTTCTTCAGCCTGGCGCTGCTGCTGGCGCCGCTCGTCGAGAGCCTCATCCTCCTCGACCGGCTGCTCTTCCTGCGGGAGCGAGGTGGGCGCCGCGCACCCCGCATGGCGCCCCGGCGGCGCCCGCGCGATGCCAACGCTGCCCCTGCCCCGCAGGCTTCCAGTGCGCCCTGGTCCCCCTCTTCGACCCGCTGCTGTCCCCGCGCAACCTGGTGCTCGTGGCTGCCAAGTGCCCCCTGGGGCCCGTTCTGGCCGCGCTCGAGGACGACAGCAGCGAGGACGAGGATGAGGACGGCGGTGGGGACGAGGCCGCAGTGCAGGGGTGAAGCCGGGACCTGGGGCAACCCCCGAGGGGCTCGTGTCCCCTCGTGGGCCTCGCGGCGCCTCCCGCGCAGCCTCGGCGCCCGAGCKCCCGCGTCCCCAAAGCCTCCGTTGTGCCGCACGTCCGAGGACAGAGGCCGGGRGGCCGAGACCTTTATTGCAATAAAGCCGCTTTCCCCCAGCCCGGGCTCGCACGGGGGCCAGCGCGGGAGCACGGGGGGCAGCAGGAGGGACCCGGGCCCCTCGCTGTCCCGCAGCGGCCGCGCCGCCCTCAGTACCAGTAGGATTTCTTGGGCCTGCGCGTCTCCACGATGCCCATGGCGTCCATGACCTCCTCCTCGAAGGTCTTCAGCGAGGCCACGTAGGTCTTCTTGAGGGCGGCCTCGGGCGACGTGTCCTTGGGACCGTCTGCTCGCGGCCGCGGGGASAGCGCTGAGCGCCCGGCACGGGACAGAGGGGTGCCCGCGGGGGGGGCGGCCGCGCGCCCCGCGCCCTCACCTATCCACTCCTCGGGCACGACGCCGTCGTCGCGGGGCTGCGGGGGCACCGGCAGGATGCGCCCGCTGCGCAGCGACACCCGCACGCGCTCGCCCTCCTCCGTGTAGCGCCACTGCACCTCCGTGGGCGTCCTGCGGAGCGCGGCTGAGCCCCGGCGCCCGGCCCGGCGCCCGGCCCCGCTCCCGGCCGCCTACCTGTCCTCGGGGTCCACCAGGGACACCTGGCTGAGCAGCAAGGGCGCCTCGCTGGCGATGTAGGTGCTGGGGAACTTGGCCGTCTTGTGGATGTAGCGGTAGTGCTGGGGGGGCGGCGGCGGGGCGGT